AATATATTTTAAACATAACTGTATGCCTTCAACTACAAATAAAATGTATTGTTGGTCATTTTGCTATAAAATGTATTGTTGGTAATTCTATAAAATTATATTGCTGATCATTTTACAATATAAAAATATATTGCTAGTAATTTTACTATAAAATTGTATTTTTATACTTTTACAGTGTTTTTATTTGGGGTTTCACTATTTGCCCATAGCTGCAATTGGTACTGCTACTCTAGGTCAGGGTGGATCTGGGAACAACAGCAAGTAAGAGATGGTTGCAAGCTCCTCAAAAACCTCAAATCTCCTGATCAGAGTTCTTGCTGCTGGATGTACCTGGAGAGGAACGCTTCCCATTTGAGTATGTGACTTGATGCATAAGCAAAAAAAAAAAAAAAGGAGGTTACTTTTTGAAAGCCTAGATTGTTAAATTACTTGATTTTCTTAAAACATTTCTTAAAGAGGAGTTGACAGATGTGTGTGTGTGTGTGTGTGTATATATATATATATTAGGAAATGGATTAAATCCAACATATTTTTTATTAATTTTTTAAACATTATCTTTTTTTCAAATATGAGTATCCATTTAAAAAAACAAAAACAAAAATGTTTAAATGAATAAATATATAATTATTTTTTATTTACAGAAGAATTACTTAACTGTAATTGTGCATATCAATCCTTGTGTGTGTGTGTGTATATATATATATATATATATATATATATATATATATATATATATACACACATTATGCATGTTTTAAACTATGTATTTAATATATACAAATGAACAACTTAATGTAATGTGACATGCCATGACTAAGGAGACGAAAGGGAGGCTGACAATAAAGGAATGAATATTTAAGTACCTATTTTATAATATAATTTAAAATTAAGTACCTCTTCTAGGCACAGTGGAGTAATGGATAGTGGCTCAGATTGAGGAATTGGAGAGCCAAGTTCAAATCCAGTTGAATCCATTACTTTCATTTATGTGCTAATACCCTTGGAAAAAGCATGAATCCTCTTCTTCTCCTCCCAACTATGGGTAAATAGCAGGACAGACAGGGTTCTGTAGCCTTGGATGGCAACTGGTCTACCACATAAAGAAATGGCAACCTACTGTAGAGAAAAAAAAAAATCTGCCTTGTCAGTCATGTATCAAAAGATACATGATCGCCTAAGCGTGTATTATGCACGGCACATAACTGACTGACTGACTTTTCAGTCGAATCCATTACATTCGCTTACGTGCTAATACCCTTGGGAAAGTTATGAATCCTCTTCTTCTCCCAGTTATGGGTAAATAGCAGGAGAGATCGGGTTCTATAGCCTTGGATGACAACTGGTCTATCGTAGAAAGAAATGGCAACCTACTACAGGAAAAAAAATCTGCTTCATCAGTCATGTATTGAAATATATCTGATCGCCTAATCATGTATCATGCATGGCACATAACTGACTGACCTATTCTATAATATAATTTAAATTTAAGAAGCTAATCTATAATATAATTAAAAATTTTTAGAACCTAATCTATATTATAATTTAAAATTATGTAGCTATTCTATAATATAAAACACAATGTGACTTTATATATTTATATGTCATACAGCCTGATCTTCATTCTTTAGTAATGAGGTATTTCAATGTTCATGTGATGATTATTAAGCAGGCAATTATATTCAATATTATCATAGCTATAGAATATTATCTTCTTTCGTTTCTGGACTGACAAGAACCATTAAAAAATTGTACTGGACAACTCTTAATTTTATGTATGAAAAAAAATGAATTATTTCCCTTAGAACCAATTCAAAAATTATTCTAACCACTAAATACTTAACATCTCCCAATTTTATATATTTATATAAAAAAATGAATTAAGTAGGTTTGGTTTGGTTTATTTTGTTTTATGGCATATCAACCTCAAGGGGGTATTTAATGCCAACAACATTTTTTATAGTTGGTTTTGTCAAAAATCTGTTTCTGGTAATATTTTTCCTTCAAAATTGTATATTGCTGGTAATAATTGTTCAAAAAAGTATTGCTAGTAATAGTTAACTATTTGCCCATAGCTGGTACCCTAACAGGTGCTACCACCCCAGGTGTGGGTGGACTTGGGAACACCCGCAATTAAAACCTTCTGCTCAGAGGCCTTGCTGCTGGATGTAGTTTATTGTCTTACCCAGGATGCGGATGTAGTTTAACGTCTTAAGCAGGACAATATTAAGTAGGAGATGTATTTAAAGTGTTTAGAATTTATCAATTCCATATTCTGAATTTTTATGACGGATTCAGGGTAGGTGTCATAATTACTCACATTCCAATTCTAGCTCATAAGTTTTTCTTTTGGAAAGGTTTAGCTGAAGTCTTAATTTTTTGGATACTTTGTAAAAGATGTTGATTCTTGAATGTTCAAGTCTATTCTTGTATTAATTGATGAAAACTTATTTAATCATCATCATCAGTATATTGGCTTCCAGAGCAGGCCTGAAACAATTAAAAATATGAAGGGCCAAATTAATTTATTGAATAAGACAAAAAAGACTGCAGAAGTAAATTTACAGTGCAAATTACTAATTGAAAAAAAAAAAAAAGGTTCTAATGCATTCTAAAAGTGATATGTTTCAATTAAAAACAAATACTGGTTAAAAAAAAGTTAATGATTCTACAAAAACTGAATTTATCCTATTTTTACTAGTAGTGGTTTCATGGGCTGCATTCACCCTGCATTCGTATTGAATTTAAGGCTTGTCATATATAGTCATCTTGGCCCCAATATTCCATCTAGAGAATGTTCTTCTGCTCTGAAATATTTTTTGATTAGAGTCAATCTTCAATGAATAGGAAAAATTGTCTTTTAATTATAGGTAAGATTTCATTTCCATCAACTTCATGATTTTATCATATGGTCTTTTCCATCAACTTCATGATTTTATCATATGGTCTTGATAATCCTGTTTGTTTGGGTTTTGTTTTTTTTTGTCAGCCATAAAAAGTTATTTATTTTTCTCTTGGTATGCACAGATCAACAACCAGGTACATACACTGCTGTACAAATTCAATGACACTGATAATAAATGGAGAGAGAGAGAGAAAAAAAATATATCAAAAGGTGGGGAAAGAAAAAGAGAAATTTGTGTTTGACAAATATCTTTCCTATTTCATTCTTTTCCTTTCCCTTTACTTTTGAACTATTTTGAGAACCCTTTGCTGGTCACACTGAGTAGTAGAAGCCAGATTTCATACAGGCCTACTCTAGAGAGAAAAATGAATTATTTACATTAGAACCAATTCATTTGGTTTGGTTTGTTTTACAGCATATCAATCTCAATGTGTTATTTAATGCTGACAAGATATTTATTGCTGGTCATACAGTGTAACCCGGATATAAGAGAGATTTTCTCTGGTCCCAAATTAGAGCCTGTGTTAATGTATATAAATGTATAGACCAAACCCGGATATAAGAGACTTCTTCTCCGGTCCCGACAACTCTCTTATATCCGGGTTACACTGTATTTTTATCTATCTATCTAAGTATATATTGGCTTGTTTTGTTTTATGGCATATCAATCTCAATGTGTTATTTAATGCTGACAAGATTTTTATTGCTGGTCATATTTTTATCTATCTATCTCAGTATATATTGGTTTATTTTGTTTTATGGCATATCAATCTCAATGGGTCATTTAATGCCGACACCTTTTTTTTTTCCTGGTAATATTTTTGTTTTGTCAAAAATATATTTCTGGTAAAATTTTTTCCTCAAAATTGTATAGCTTGTAATATTTTTTTTCAAAAACGTATTGCTGGTAATAGTGTTTTTCAAAAACGTATTGCTGGTAATAGATTTTTTTTTCTTCAAAAATTTATTTCTGGTAATAATTTTTTACAAAGTATTTCTAGGATTTAAACCTATTTTTACACTTTCATAATGCTTTTTACCTCAGTTTCAGGGTTAACTATTTGCCCATAGCTGGGACCCTAACAGGTGCTACCACCCCGGGCCAGAGTGAACCTGGGAACACCAGCAATTAAGAGATGGTTCCATGCTCCTCAAAGCCTCCTGATCAGAGGCCTTGCTGTTGGACGTAGTTTATCACCTTACCCTGGATACGGATGTAGTTTATTGTCATACCCAGGATGTAGAACCAATACAAAAAATTATTCTAACCACTAAAGGATTGTACTTAACATCTCCCTATTTTATATATTTTATGTTATTTTACTGAAGTCTTAATTCTTGGAATACTTTGTAAAGGATGTTGATTCAGGAATGTTCAAAATTATTTTTGTACCAACTATGAAGACATCATCTTAGGCCCTCCCCTCATAATCCGTACATTTGACTCTAGAGCAGGCCTGCGCAATTAAAATTATGAAGGGCCATATTATTCATAGAAAATTAGTTGCAGACTGCAGGAGTAAATTTTCAGAGAAAATTACAAAGTGAAAAAAGAAAATGGTTCAAAAGTATTCTAAAAGATGTGTGTCTCAATCAAAATTAAATATCGGTTGAATAAATTTAAGCTTCCACATAAACTGAATTTTTTATACATGGTGTGTTTTGGAACTTAGTCAATTTTTTATGTTCATTAGAATATTTTGTGAACCCTTCGCTAGTCACACTGAGTAGTGGACGCCAGATTCTGTGCAGGTCTGCTCTAGAGAGAAAACAAGAGTGCTATTTTCTAAAAGTGTAAAAATATAATGTACAAAAATCAACAGGTACAATGTGCTTTAGTTAAATTTGGTTTGGCATAACATGGCATAATTGGGAAGAAGAAAAAATCAAAGGGAAGATGACGAAAAGGATAAAAAGACAAAACTAATGCCACAAACCAGTGATTTGGTGGGGAAAAAAAATTAAAAAGGGAAACAATAAAATACCAAAAAATCTGGAAACTTAAAAATTATTTTGGTAAAATTCTACAAAAAAGAAATATAACAGAAAGAGCGAAAGAAATGGAAAAGCGGGGATAAAGAATGAACGATCGACAAACCCAGGAAGAATACTGGATTGCGGGCGTTTGTGAAGGTGATTCCAGTACAGGCTGCTGAAAGAAATAACACATAGCAGTATCTGCTGCAAATTGGAGAAAGAGAATTTAGACAGGGAAGACAACTCAGCATTTCTTACTGTCTCCATTATTATTTTGAATTATCAATTATTACCAGTTTAAATCATGGACTCTTCCAAAATAATTGGAAGAAAAAAACAAAAAAGAACAATTCTCTAAACTTCAGTTGCATCATTATTATTATTGTCAAGATAATGATTATTATTATTATTATTATTATTGTCAAGATTATTATTATTATTACTGTCAAGATGATTATTATTATTATTAATGTCAAGATGATTATTATTATTATACTACTACTACTACTACAACAACAAAGTAATTTAGTATTAGTTGTTAGCTTAAGTATGTATTTCCCAGTCAGGTATTAGTTTTTTTTTAATTTATAAATAACTGTAAAATGACTTTACTTGAGAACTCCCAGGGGCGATAATCCATTTTATTTTCATATTTAATGAAAACAAAATGAATTAACTCCCCTAGACCCTATTTTAAGATTATTTTATTAACATAGTGAGGAACCATAAAATAAGTGTACTTGATGACTCCAAAGTTTTATATATGTAAACAAACAATTAACTCCTCGAGAAGCCATTCAAAAATTATTCTTTTATTTTAGAAATGAGAAGACAATAAAAGCTTGTACTTGATAATTCCTTATTTTATGTGAAAATAAAATGAATTAACTCCTTCAGACAACATTAAAAACTTATTCTTTTATTTTCAAAGTGAGAAACCATAAAATAATTGCATCTGACGATTCCTAATTCTTATATTTGAAAATAAAATGAATTAACTCCTCTAATCCATTCAAAAAATCTATTTTAAGAATAAGAAACCATAAATAATTCTACTTGACAACTAATTTTTATATATGAAACCAAAATGAACCAACTGCCTAAGATTCCATTCAATAATTTGATTTTTTTAAATGAGAAGCCTATAAATAATTGTACTTGACAATTGCTAATATTTTGAGAACAAATGAATTAACTCCAACACTGTTAAAAAATGAATCTTTTATTATCACAAGGAATTATAAAGTAATTGTATTTACTACACATAATTTTTATATTAAAATAGAATAAATTAACTTCCCTAGACTGCATTAAAAAATGGTTCTTTTGTTTTGTAAATGAGAACCTATTAATCTATTTTTGTCTAACATTTCTGAAATTTTACATTTAAAAGTAAAATGAGTTAATTCTCCTTACCACCATCCAGAAATTATTATCAGACATATTCCTATATTTATTTAGATTATCTATTTCTAAATTTATTTAGGTAGCTCTATCCATATCGGACTATTCATCTGTCTATCTATATGTCTATTGGGGTACCTTGAGGTGGTGTAATTGTTAGCAAGCTTGTCTCGCTAGAACAATTACAACTGAGTAGTGAGTTCGATCATCACTGGGTGCCCCGCTACTTTCGGCCTTGTGCCACGTCTAAGCTATGCTTGGAAAATCACTATCTATATGTCTGTCTATTGAACTTTCTATGTGTCTGTCTATTCATCTGTCTGTCCAACTGCCTATCTATATGTAGTCTATCCATCTGTCTGTTCAACTGTCTATGTTTCTGTCTATTCATCTGTCTGTCTATATGTCTGTCTATTCATCTGTCTGTCTGTCAACTGTCTATGTGTCTGTCTATCCATCTGTTTGTCTAACTGTCTATGTGTCTGTCTATCCATCTGTTTGTCTGTCCAACTGTCTATCCATCTGTTTGTCTGTCCAACTGTCTATCCATCTGTTTGTTGGCATGGTGCTTATTTGGTATGACATTCTTAAAAATGATATTCCCCATGGCATGATTATTGTGTTCCAGGAATCATATCGCATGAGGCAGAACATTGATTTGAACCAATATACTTATTTTATAATCTCACTTTCAATCACTCCCCGACCCACACCACAATAACATAGATTCTGTGCCTTTTCTATAAATATTTTCATGGGAATTGTTCTGATGAGCTTTTTTCTTTGGTATCTTGACTTCATGAATTTAATTACAGTACTAGATTGGCAGCTAGGTCTCATCATTTTATAGTTGAAATGGCTAGATGCAACCGTAAGTTCTATGCTAAGAGTTTCTTCACTTGCATTTTTCACTTGTGGGATTATTTTCTGGCTTCCTGCTTTTCAGCCAACTTTTGTTGATCTTCAAAAATTTAAATGCAATGTCAATCATTACCTTCTGTCTTCTTAATCCCTGTTCTTTTTCTATCTTCCTAAAAATTTTTTTTTTTTCATATTCTTTAACATTAAAGTAAATCCTTTTGTCTTAATGGCTTTATTGCCTTGCTTTGAAAATGAAATAAAAAAAAAAAAATTAAATAATAAAATAATTTTGAAAATTGAAAATTAATGGGATTGTCATAGGTTTGAAAATTATTTAATTTGAATTTTATCCTTCTTTTTTTTTTTCAAAAAATTTCAAATGTCAAATCAAAAATATTTAAATTTGATAAAAATCGTTATCTTCTGTTTTTTAATTATTTTTTATATTTCTCCTCCTTAATAATTTTCCTTTTAAAAAAATTTTTTCCTTTTAGCAAAAACTCCTTTTTCTTCTTAATGTCTTTATTGCCTTTTTTTTGAAATGGTTAAAAAAAAATTGATATGTGAATTTTTATTGTAATGATTTGAAAAAATACAACTATAGGGAAAAATTGGGAAAATGAATATTGTATTTTAATTCACCAATCAATTAATTTTGTTCATTCCAAAAAAACAACTTTTTTTATGAAAAATTAAAAAAAAAAACAAAACAATAAATTTTTGTTAGAAAGAAATTAATAAAAAAAAATGACTAAATAAAAGGACTTTTACTGAAACAAAAAAAAAAAAAAAAATGTTTTTCTATTTCTAAAACTAGAATTTTTGGCCTATAACAAAAACTTATTCATTTATATGGAAAAAAAATTTTAAAAAAAAAAAAGTTTGCATTTTTTTTTTTTATTTTTTATTCATTTTTTTTCATTTTAAACATCTCCAAACCCATTCCTTAACTTTATCTTGCAACTTAATGAGTAATTGGAAAAAAAACATTTTTTCCTCATTCCATAATTTAATTTTGAATTTCTTTAAATTCTCAAAGACTGGCTGCCATTTTTAAAATCCCAGAATATTTATTTTATTTAATGGTAATATATATTTATAGAAAAATTATGGATTATGCCTGTGCAAATAAATAAATTGAACAGACAACATTTTGGATAAATTTTGGTTTCATTTCATCAATTTAATTTAGATTTTTTAAAAATTTCAATTCTTTATTTTTATTTGAATTTTTAAAATTTTTTCTATTCAATAAATGATTTTTTTTTTAATGTATTCATTTTATTAAAAATTTTTTTTTTTTATCTTCCTTTTAAATAAAAGAAATTTTATAAATAAATAAAAAAAAAAAATATATTAATTTATTAATATTAAAAAAAATATGAAATTTACAATAATAATAATAAAATTGAGAAAAATAATAAACTTTTTTTTCAAAATTAAAAAAATCATTTTAGTGGATTTTGTATTTTTTTTAAAAAAAAAATCTGACAAAAATCAAAAAATTAAAAAAACAGAATACTGCTTAAAGAAAACCTCTTTTTCCATTATGAAAAAAAGATTTTTTTTTTCTAAAAAAAAAAAATATTTTAATTCAAAGATTTAAAAGCATTAAAAAAAAATAAATTCAAATTTATAAAGATTATATTCATATATTCATTTTTTTTGCATTTTCAATTTTTAAATAAATGAAAATCAAAAATATAAAAAATGTTATCAATATCAAATTCATTTTTTTCTATCCTTTTCTGATTTAATTAGCCTTCCTTTTCATGGAAATTGCTGCCATAAATTTCTGGATTCAAATTTTTCTTTTCATAATTAATAATTCAAAAAATATATAAGATAAATAGAACTTTCACCAAAAAAAATTTAAAAATTTTGAATTTTGAAAAAATATTCGTCTTTATTTTTCTCCATAATCAAAAATATATAATTTTTCTTTTCTTTTTTAAAATCATTTTCATGGTCTTTTAAAATCTCTTTTTTTGATTTTTTTTAAATATATTGAAAAAATTTAAATTTCTTGTGGATAAAAAAATTTCAAATTGGAAAAAATAAATTGTTAAAAACTGTAAAATAAATTTGTCTTTTTATCAAAATATCAAAAATAAAATAGTTATTTTTCAAAATTAATGGAAAATCCTTAATTTTTTTTTCCCAATTTTGATAAAATTCCTGATTTATTAACAAAAAATAACTTATAAAATATATTAAAATCATTTTTTTTCAATTTTATTAAAATCTATTTACTATTTTTTCTCTTTTATTTTAAATGTAAAAATCTATTTTAAATACAATTTTTTTTAAAAAAATTGAAAAACTAGTGTTTTCTCATCAATTTTTAAAAAAAAATGAAAAAGACTTTTAAAATAATTGTTCAAATGAACTTTGAAAATAAAAATAAATAATATTTATATTTTATATTATATATAAATTTATATTTATAAAAAAATTTATATTTATATAAAAACAATATCTTAAAATTGTTTGAAATATTTTTCTTATATTACATATATTTTAAAATCAGAATAAAAATGATATTAAAAACCATTGGAATCCAAACAAATGAAATATCTCACAAAACATTGGAGGTTGGGATTGAAAAGGAATGTAACATCATGTTCAAAATACAAAATTTACTAATTTTCTTTTTTTTATGTACATATAAAAAATTTTTTTTTTTTAAAAAAAAATTTTTTAAACTATTATTATTAAATTTTTGTTTTAGAAACCATATCATTTTTAAGAGAAAAATATATTAATGTGATGTATCAATTTTTTAAAGAAATTTGGATAAAAAATTTTTGAATATATATAAAAGTTTGAATTAATATTTATTGCTTAACCTTTAAAAAAGTTCAATGATAATTCTTCAATAACCATTTGTTGTCCACAATAAATGAGTTGAAAATAGTTAAACTTTAA